TAACCATGGCAATGAAATGATATACGATAGAATGAATGTAAAACTAATGTTCTCCCATGTAAACTATCACATAATTCACAATAAAACACTAAAAAAATTTATTTGTGATTTTAATGATATTGTCTGATGATTTTTGTATTTTGTTAGGTCACCTCTCTTTGAAATGGGCACAAATATGGATTTCTTCCAATCATTTGGCTAGCTATCTTCTAAATTTCTTGGTATAGGTGAGTGAGTACTTCCAGTGTCACATCAGTTTGTTGAAAGACTTTAATTTGGATTCCATCAATTCCAGGGGCCTTGTTCTTTGCCAATGCCTTGGACTTCTTACTTCAGTACCTTTAGCTCTTGATCTTATACTATCTCTTGAAATGGTTGAACATAGCCCATTTCTTTTGGTACAGTGACTCTGTGTATTTATTCTGTCTTCTTTTGATTCTTTTTACATCATTCAATAGTTTGCCCGTAGAATCCATCAATACTTCAAGTTGCGGCTTGAATTTTTTCTTCAGTTCCTGCAGCTTGAGAAATGCTGCGCCTGTTTTTCCCTTTGGGTTTTCTAACTCCAAGTCTTTTTGTATTTCATTATAATACTTTGTTTTCTCAAGCTGACCTTTGAAATTTTCTATTCAGCTATTTTACCTCCTCATTTCTTTAATTTGCTGTAGCATCTCTATGCTGTAGAGCAAGTTTTATAGTCTCTTCTGACATCCATTTTGGTCTTTTCCTTCTTCCTTATCTTCTTAATGACCTTTTAATGATGTTCTTGATGTCATCCCACAAGTCTTCTGGTCTTCAGTCATTAGTATCTAATGTATCACATCTGTTCTTAAGATGACCTCTGAATTCAGGTGGGATATGATCTGGTGTGGCGCTGTGGGTTAATGCTCTGGGCTGCAAAGTTGGTTTGAACCACAAAGGTGGCAGTTCAGACTCACCAGCTGCTCTATGCAAGGTCGCTATGGGTCAGAACCGACTCTGTGGTATTTAACAACAAGAACAAATGTTCAAGGTCATATTTTGGCTTTCATGGAAATGTTTTCATTTTCTTCAGCCTGAACTTGCATAAGAGCAATTGATCTGTACCATAATCTGCCCCTGGCCTTGTTCTGGCTGATGATATGGAGCTTTTCCACCATCTCTTCCCACATATGTAGTCAATTTGCATACAGAGTCACCATGAGTTGAAACCAATTTAACTGCACTTAACAGCAGAGATTATTTGACACTTTCTTTAGTTGGTTTAAAGACAATGTCAATATGGTTATCTTTGGTCATTTACAATCAGCAAAACAGCTGGCTCCTTCCCCTCTACCTAACTATACTAGGGTAGGTCAGAAGTGTTACTGCTAGGGTTCCAGTTCATACATGCATAGATTTATTTCAAACAAAATGTGTTTAAATATATCTCTGCAATCAGTGGATGGTTATAGACAAATTTTCTCAGAAATACAGTTGTATTATTTCGGTAAGGTGCCTTCAAAAATAAGGTCCACACGGGGGAAGGATTGCATGGCGGGGATTGTAACCATGGCAATGAGACGATATACGATAGAATGAATGTAAAACTAATGTTCTCCCATGTAAACTGTCACAAAATTCACAATAAATCATTTAAGAAAAAAAATAATAAATAAGGTCCAATCACAATAGTAGCTATTGAGGAGATCTACTTGGCCATTTAAATTCAAGGCAGAGAGATAGCTCAGAAGGTTATGGTGAGTGTTTTTTTGGAATTCCAAAGGGATATAAACTTTTTTTTTTTTAATGTTTTATTGTGAATTATGTGATAGTTTACATGGGAGAACATTAGTTTTACATTCATCCTCTGGTGTATTGTTTCATTGCCATGGTTACAATCCCCTCCATGCATCATCAACCAACCAAAGGGTATACCCTACAAGCCTGCCCCCTGGTCGCCAGCACACAGCCCGTTTCCCTCTCTGGGTCTAAAATCCCCAGCTGCTCCATCTCTCCACATTATCATCTCTGCCTCCATCTCTGGCGTCACTGCTTCTCTGGGTAGAGTCCCACTCTCTGCTCTTTTCCCTTGATGGTCCTAGGGACCTCCACTTCTAGACTGAAAAGTTAATCACTCCCCTCCTTGCTACAAAATGTCTACATTTCCAACCTTAACAATCAGGCCTGATAACAGTTATTCACTATTGTATCACAAGAGACCTATCCACATCTCCTTTCATCAGCCCCTTCTAGGCAGATTGGATACTACTCAGTGGAGATTCTACCTTCCTCCATGCCCTCTGGATCTAGGTTCCCTCTTGAAAGCTTTGGGTAGCCATTGTCCAAGTTACCCATCCCTGTCTACTGTGTGTATGGAGGGGGTGGGAATGATCCTCGCTGTAAAGATTTGTTTCAAAGGGATATAATCTTGATAGATTTTTTTTTTTTGAAGGGCACAGGACAATCTGGAGAGCTTATTCTGAAGAAATGTTAAGAAAATTGAAAGCTGTGTTGGTGAGAAAAAGGCCAGGAAAGTTGAGCTGAGGAAGTTTCTTCCATTATAACAGCGCACTTGGCTCATTCTTTGAGGGTAGTAAGGACTGTCCTATGAGAATTTTGTTGGGAAATTTTACCTTATCCACCCTATAGCCCTGATCTTGTCACTTTATGTCTCTTTTTGGTTCCCAAACTCAAAGAGCATCTTAAAAGCAACACAATTTGAGTACTTCGAGGATGCCAAATCTGCCATTTTGATGTGATATCAACTGAAAAGCACACAATTCTCCTGAGAGGGCCTAGAGAGAGAGAAACACTGCCTTCCTAAGTGTACAGACCTAGATGGAGAATATGTCAGGAAACATATTTTGATATTTTTGTTTAATAAAGGTGTCTATGATTTTATAGCAATACTTATGTATAATCATCATTTTGTTGTAGCATATACTGTGGTTTCTCACAGATAATACAGAGGTTCTATGCCCACCCACTCTCCCCATCATAAGGTATTTCCATAAATATATTTTTTCAATTGTTTTTCACATGGTGCTGTACAAAACTACCTAATGTGGGGGATGGGTTGGTTGGAAAACAAATGTAGAAACTGTGCATTAGTTGCCTAAAGATACAATATAGTCTAAAATTGTGGGCATATGGAAGAACTGAAAGAAATTAGAGCTATTTTTCTCATGTAATTTTTTTCAGTTTTTACTTAATTTTATCTTTTTTATTCAAACTTTTTGTTGAGAGACAGGATACATTCAGTAAATACAGTTTAATAAATTTTTCCAGATGTGTACAGCACTGTAATTAGCACCTAGAGAAACAATATAGCAAATTTCCCTCTTCCACCCAGCTAAGCATTGTTCAGAATTCTGTAGCCAGTTTTTCGTTTTGTGTGTTCATTTACTTCATGTGTGATCTCTGAGTAGTGCAAACAGTTAATGTGCTCAGTTGCTAACTGGAAGGTTGGAGGTACGAATCCACACTAAGTCTTGGCAATCTATTTGTAAAAAGCCAGCAACTGAAAACCCTATGGCATACACTTCTGCTCTGACACACATCCCATGTAATTATTAATTGTATTTACCAGTTTAAAAGACTTGGATTCTAGGTTCAGGGCACATTTTTGTTTTGTTCTGGTACTCAATGATTTGCAAAACTACAAAATATTTCTGTTCTGCTATTTTTAAGCAATCAGCAATATCTAGCTAATAAAGTATTTTAAAACAAATTTCCAAATCTTACAAATTTTAGGTAGATTCTTTCCATCACTGTAATACTTATTACTTGAGTAAGTTAAAGTTAATTTCAGATTTGGCTTTTTTCCCCTTTTGCCTTTGTTATTGATGCCATTTTGAAGTATAAAAATGAAACTGTGTTTGACTCTCAAGTTCTATAATACTCAACATTAACTTTGTGTCTCATGTTCTTATATGTGGCTTTATTTCCTTCCTATAGGGAAATGCATTTATAGAACATTATGATCCAAAAGAGTATGACCCTTTTTACATGACCAAAGAGGACCCCGGTTTTCTGAAGGTAGGGTAGGTGTTTTGTTTTACCTTTGATATTAGGTGTTTGGTTGTTTTGGGTAGCCCTGTAGTGTTTTCCTGAAAATACAGTAACATCTAAAGAATAATTTTGTATCTCCACATCTTAGTTAAAAAAAAAAAAAAAAGAACCAAAGTAAACTAAACCTCTTTAAAATGAGAAGATAGCACATAAGAATTGTATAATAGTTGTTTAAAATTTCAGGGACCTTTGCATTTTTTTTTTTACATGATCAATAAATGAGAAATTGATTTTTAAATAAAGGAAATAATTTTTTAAACCCTCATTATTCTATTACCTAGAATTAGGTCACTGATAACATTTTTCTGTATATGTTTCTAGACTTTTTTCTGTAAGTATGTATATATACATATTTTTACTTCACAGTAATTAGATATTTTACATTTGGCTTTAAGATTTTTTTTCTCTCAATAGTTTATGATTTGCTTCTTTCTGTGTTATACATGGACACTTTGTGTAGCACTGTAGGATCAGCACTGGACTGTGAACCACAAGGTCAGTGGTTCAAACCCACCAGCTGTTCCTCAGAAACCCTATACAGAGTCATTATAAGCTGGAATTTACTTGATGGCACTTAACAATAATAACAATATTATAAATATTTAATTTTATTCATTGTGTAATATTTTATTACTCATAGAAGCTACCTTGCATAGAAGACTCCTGGTGTGGTGCTATAGGGTAAGCACTAGACTGTGAACCAAAAGGTCAGTGGTTTGGCAGTTCAAACCCACCAGTTATACAGGGTCACTATGAGTCGGAACCTACTTGATGGCACTTAACAATAACAACAACAACTTTGCATAGAGGACTTAACTATTGGGTTTCCCCTCAACCCTACTTTATGTTATCTTTGCTATTACAATATTTAAGAGTCCTGGTGTGGCACTGTAGGATCAGCACTGGACTGCTAATCCCAAGACTGGCAGTTCAAACCTACCAGCTGCTCCTTGGAAACTTTATACAGGGTCGTATGAGTCAGAACTGACTCGATGGCACTTAGCAACAGTGTGATATGAGGTAATTTAGAGATGGGGAAAGTGAGGGACAGATTAAATTACTTGTGCTTTAAATAGCAGAACTTAGATGTGTTTATAACCATGTATGGTATCTTGCTATAGCGTCATTTATTTGACCAATGTCATATTTGGGGCATCTAGGTTGTTTTTAACTTTTTACTGTTATATGTGACATAATAAACATCTCTATAGCTCTATATTTCATCATTTTTAACTTAAGGTAAGTTACTAGAAGTAGAATTGCTGGGCTAAAGGATATGCATGATTTTGATACATATTGCCAAGTTGCTCTCTATATTTGTTGCTGTGTGCCATTAGGTCAGTTCTGACTCAGTGACCCAGTGTATAACACAATTAAGCATCGTTCTCATAATCATTGCTATGTTTAAGCCCATTGTTGTAACCACTGTGTCAATTCATCTCATTGGCAGAGTTTTTTTTTTTTTCCTCACTGACCCTCGATCAAGTATCATGTCCTTCTCCAGGGACTGGGCTTTCCTGATAATCTGTTCAGTGCATTAGACAAAGTCTCACCATTTATGTTTCTAAGGAGCATTCTGGCTACACTTCCAAGATAGATTTGCTAGTTCTTCTGGTAATCCATGGTATATTCAATATTCTTCACCAACATCATAATTCAAATGCAGCCTTTTCATCCTTATGAAGTAACTGAAAAAATCATGGCTTGGATTAGGTGCACCTTAATATCTTCAAAGTGACATCTTTGTTTTATAACATTTTAAAGAAGTCTCTATACAGGATGTATAGATTTACATTCCAGCAAGTCTGTTTTTCTACACCTTTGCTAATAACAGATATTATTAAACAGAATAAAGCAACAACAACAAAAAACTACTTTGTGTTATAGACATTTTAAACTGCTGGCGTTTTCATAGGAATACTAGGGTTTTTTGTTTTTAATTTTATTGTTTGTCATTATGTTTTTTTTTCACTGCCACGTACTTGTAGTTAAAAGAAATATGCAGTTTCCCTTAATGATGTCTTTGAGGAAGCAATACAAATTATGAATTTTATTACATCTTGCCCTTTGAGTCCATGTGTTTTTAATATTCTTATAACTACAACTTGTAAATGAGCCTGTCACTTTGAGGAAAACAACTGGCAATATTTGTTGTCAATGATAAAATGTGACCTTTAAGCCTCAAAATTAAAACTGTGAAGAACACATATATATACCATAATGAATGTGACAAAAGCCCAATAGTCAGATTTTATAAAATGTGTAATGATGTTAATTAATGTGATTCTCTTAATGAAATGTATCAGCATTAGGAAGATCTCACATAACTTAATGATCAATTTTTTCCAAATGACCAATTCATGATGTTATAAAATCATGATTCATGCATGGGCAAAGGATACATTCAAGTGCAAGTTATATCAATGGATTTCAATGTAGTTGTTGTGTGCCGTCAAGTTGGTTCCAACCCATAGCAAACCTGTATAGGGTTTCCAATGGGTGGTTGATATAGTAGAGTAAGAAAAATTCATTAATATGGTTTCAGATTCCACATTGTTAACTAATCTTTAAGAAACTACCACTTGTTGAGTTTGGATGTAGTATTAAAGAAGAATATTCACAATTAATTGAAAAGGCTATAAAAATATTTCTTCCTTTCCAACTACATAACTCTGTAGATTTTTTCATATATTTGAACTAAAACAACGTATGTCAATAAATTGCACATAAAAACAGATAGGATCATTTGTCTGTCTTCTATTATGCAAAACATTTATGAGACATAAATATGTAAACCGCTTTACTTACTAATTTTTGGCTTTGGAAAATAGTTATTCCTTATAAAAAGTCATGTTGAGTGCAGTTGTTGTTGGTTATTTAAAATTTTTAAATGAATGAATAAATAATTTAATATTGTCTTAGTTTTAAGTACTAATTTAGTTTATATTGATCTATCTAACCCATGTCTATAAAAGCTTTTTTGTCATTAGTAATAATAATAATAACTATCATTATAATGGGCCTTGATATTTTAAAAGCCATTCAAATTCTTATGTTTACAAGTGCTTGTCTATAGAGGTAGAAGTCTCTGAAGAACTTCTAAATGTTGATAAACCTTTAAAATTTGCTCTGTCTTCAATTTAAAATTTGTTTTGCTATGCATATGTAAGTAGTTTACATGCAAATACCTGAAAGTGATAGTAGTTTTTTCTTTTTGAGTGAGTAAATGTTTTAATACAAGCATTCTTCATAAGTTCTATAAAAGCAAAATGCTAAGTGGCAGTCAGATCACTGTTTATTTTGCTGGTAATAGCCATGTTTTGTATTATATTTAGACAAACTAACTGTCAATATTACTAGAAAGATACACAGGTGATCTATTTAGCTTGTGGTGAAATTTCAATGACTAGGCTAGACTATGGAAGGAAACTTGTGAATACTCTTATGTGGACATGTTATTTTGAATTTGATAACTTTGGTCATTAAAATAGATGTGGGGCTGGGGATTCATTGCTTAGAGAACACTGAGCTGCTATTAAGGATGATAGAAAAGTTGAACCTAGTGGTAATAGTTGAACAATATGATGAATGCAATTTATGTTATTGAATTGCACTGTAAAAAGTTTGAAATGGCAAATTTTTTGTTAAATACATATTTTACCACAGTTTAAACAACAACAAAAAAGATTTAGGTCCAATACCTTGACTCACAGATGACTTATGTTTTGAATGGATTTTGGTTTCATTTTGTATAATTATTGCTTATGTTGTGGATTATGAGCATTATGGATTAACATGAATATGGTTATCTTTTCCTTTTGTACATGGTAAAGGAATTTTTAAATTTGTGAATTTATGGTGACAAGAAAATAATTTATTGTAGACTGAATTCATACTTTGACACAAGAGCTAATCTTGCCTCTGTCTGGAGAACCTTCTTAAGAGAGAAATTGGAGAACTCTCTTCTCTTTGTAATCTGTTGAAGAGATATGATTAGCTCACTGTTAGTTTGTTGTTGTAAAGTACCGTTGAGTTGGTTCTGACTCATGGCAACCCAATACAGGGTTTCCAAGGAGTGGTTGATGAATTTGAACCATTGACCTTGTGGTTCAAACCGACCTTGCAGTCCAGTGCTTTATCCCATAGTTGTTGTTGTTGTTGTTGTTAAGTGCCATCGAGTCGGGTCCTACCCATAGCGACCCTGTACAGGGTTTCCGAGGGTGTAAATCTTTACGGGAGTAGAAAGCCTCATCTTTCTCCCGCGGAGCAGCTGGTAGTTTCGAACTGCTGACCTTAAGGTTCGCAGCCCGATTCGTAACCACTACGCTACCAGAGCTCCTTCATTTCTGGCTTAAGAGCCATATGTAGATACTGAGGGTAGACTGAAAAAATTTTAAACTTATATCTGAAAGCTTAACCCTCAAAGAGATGCTTTTCTTATAGGTTATTATCCCATCCTTCTGTGATCCTTTGAAAAAAGCACAACGTGACAAGGATGAAGAAAAAAGAACTCTTCTTCAGTGTGAGACTGGTACTTAGTTCCTGCTAATTGTTAGTGATTCCATGGCCCAAGAACAACTGAATTTGCATTAAAGAGTACTAATTTAGGTTACTCATCTTCCTGCAGGTAAAATATATACAATGAAAGAATTTAAAGAGGCTGAGAAGGCCAAACTGTATTCCAGATTTCCAAGCATTTCTAACTCAAGGCACTTTATGACTCCAAATGAGTGGCTTAAACTACCTGCAAGATACATAGAGAGTGAATTTTGTAAAAGGAGCAGGTAATGGTTAAATATAATACAGATTATAGAACCTCTCAGTGTTTAAAATTTTCTTCTTTAGGTAGTGTAAATTCTGTGCATAGTCTTTTTTTTTTTTAATTTTTTTTCTTAAATGTTTTATTGTGAATTATGTGAAGTTT